TCAGCAGCAGCATTTCCAGCCCCCCCCCCCATCATCTCTCTGCCACTATACATTCCTTTTCATTATTGCAAAGACTCATTGATTTAATGTTTGCCCACCTCTGACTTTGCAATCAGCAACAACAGAGACTACAACAGGATCTGTAAGATCAAGCACATTTGTTTTTTCTTGAATCACCCAATTCCTTGATTGTGTCCCTGCTGTACCTCACCTTGTTACAGACAGGAGACATGAGTGAAATCTGTTGTAGTCTTGTGTGCAGTCACTAAAATGTAACTAGCCTTGAGGATCTCAGGCAGCTTGGAGAGCACACACTGCGCACTTTCAATAACGAAGGTGAAAAAAATGACCACTCTTTTGCAATCTGGGTCTTTATGCCGCCTCTACTTTGCTCCATCTTGTTGATAAATTATTTCACCCAACGTTTTCCACTATTGTGAACTCTTTGAAAAATGTTCTGGCACAGCGAGGCGCTAAGGAGCAAAAGGGGGGAAAAAAACAGTCAAGGGTACTCATTGAATTTGAATTTTGACATCCTGTAATAATGTTTCACATAAATGATTTCAAGCTGAAGTGCTTGGAGAGAGAGAGAGAGATACGCCAGGAAGAGGGACAGTCCCTCAATCACTGAACCTCTGCTATTCTTCCCTACCCTGATTACTCCATCTAATCCACTCTTTATCACCCTGTACTATATGTCTTTGTCCTCTCTCTCCCTCTCTCCACTCCATCCGAACACGCTGATTCCTTGCCTCTGTCCTCATTTGATCCATCCATCAATCGTTCTTTAACTCCCCCTCCTTCCTCCGTCCATTTATACTCCCCACTTTTTTCTCCCACTACTCATGAATTGTTCTTAATGCATTTTGTTTCACTCTCTTGCTCTCTCTGTGTCGTACAGTGCCAGCTATCTGTCTCTGTCACTTCCTATTCAAAGCTATACACCAGTGTACGTTCATCAGTGCTGGGATTGTTTGAGCTCAAACGCACACACAGCTAAATGTGTGAGTGCACATGATGCTTTTTAAAAATACTATTATACTACTAATACAAGAGTGCGTGTGTGTTAGTATGCGTGCATGCGACACCCCAGCAACCTCTCCTTGTGCTAGTACAGCCCATTGACTTGACTGTCAGACCTTATAAAACAGTGACTACTCAATCTGTTACACTGGCTGCTACTTCACTCACTGACTCAGTGTGTGTGTGAGTGCAATATGGAGTGACACATTTTGGTGTGTGTGTGTGTGAATTTCCGTTTGCTTAAAGTCTATGGAAGTGTGCTTGCCTTTATGACCTTGTGCATGTGAAGGCTAGAGTGTCTTCTACGTCTTTCACTGTTACAGTTCAGTATCAGCGAGGCCTTGGGTACTAGCTACATGTATTTGTCATCAGAGGCTGTAAAGAAAGCACACACACGCAAGCACAGTGAAATATTTGGCTGCACACAGAGAAGGTTAAGGGAAAGGTGACTCAAGCTGCAAATTAGCATTTTGTGTGCAAGTGCATGTGTGTGCACAGAAGAGTAGCCTAGCAATAAGCATATACAGTCACTCTATATGTGGACTGCATATAGACATACACATACATTTGTATATAGTACACATGCATATGGATTTGCACTTTTGTTTGTGTGTGTGTGTGTGTATTTGTGAGAGAGAGATTGTGTTTTCGGATTCCTGAGATCCAAGGGTTCTGTATTAATCATCCCAACAGCATAAACAAACAAATCTACAGAGCTCTTGAGTGTCTAGGTGCTTTGTGTTTTATGTCTTTGTATGTGCCCTCCCATATCCCAGTATGTATGTTCTCATACAGTTTAGTTTATTGATCTTGTTGTGTGTGTGTGAGAGATTCCTTAATGAGTCTCTATGGTAAAACCTGAGAGGAGCTACAGATGCCATAAATGGGACTAATTTCTCTCTGTAGAGAAAACTCTACTGACTGATTGTCTCTGAATATTTTTACAAAGATGATGTTTTACAAGGTTACAGTGAATATTAATACGTGTGTTTCATGTGGGTGTGTGTACTGTGCTCCTGATCTGTGTCTAATTTCCTCTTGAGGTGAATTTTCTTCACATCTTACTTAATTATACTAGATATTAGCGTATTTAGACACTGACACACTCTGAACAGGTGTTATTTTACTAATTTGTTTACATACCTGTATATTATCCATGATGGATTGTTCATTTTTGAGCATTTTGTTTAGGTTGTTTTGTTTATGAGTGAATGCCAGATTCTAATAGCTGCAGTTTTAGCTTAGGGCCATCTTTGTCTCTGGAATCCAGCCCTCTTTATCCCTGTGTGCATTTGATTGTCTTGACAAATGTTGGAAATCAAAGCTGTCCTTAAGGCACTTGGCTGGTTTAACAATTAAAGACTAAACATGCATTTTTCTGTTAAAGATGGAAGAAATTGGTTTGGGTCATTCACTTCTCTTGGTTTGTTCACCCCTGAGTTCCACAAAATGCTCAACACTGCACAAAGAGGGTAGAAGAAACCAAAATCACAAAACTGTCACCAGCAGTTCATCAGATAGTCTTGGATATTTTTCAGATTTACTTCTTGGGTTGCTCACATCTGTGATAATTAGATTTGCTGTTCTGTGTTTTGGACATTTGATTGCATGCAGCCCTCTAATTTCATTCTGATGTTTGGCTGTTGCTTTCTTCCAATATTTCCTTCCCTCAAAATTGGGTACGTTTCATAATATGGCAAATCTTTGATTATAGGAGTAATCAGTGATGTGGCTGGATCTGATCTGAGGAACTTGAGCTGTTCTGATTGTGGTTAAATTGGTGAAAATGGTTGGGACACGGTTGCGATCAGATTGCTTTGCTCAAATCATCTGTGTAATTTGTGAAAACCTGCCTAGTCTCAAATTTATAATGATAATAATAGTACACTTTATTTATATAGCATTTATATAGCAATTACACTCTGCTTGCAGCTCCCAATGGGCAAAATTAAACTGGAGCTGAGACAGCCCACAGTGGAGTTTTGAAGGATGAGTATGGATAACGCTGGTGTTGGTCTCCCTCACAATTATCATGTTTTACTCCGAATGCAGGCATGTTCAACTAAAGAACATAAAAAACACAGAACAGCCCAATTGTAGCAAAGCATAATAATTACACTAGATTAGATGTCTAAATTTAAAAAAAAAGGGGTGCTACATAAGACTGAGTCAAATTCCACCAAAACATTGCAAAGACATAGCAGCAGTGTGTGGGGGAAAATAATGAACCATTGTAACAGCCATAATTAAAATGGACATTCAAATCTAAATGGGAATGTTCAGTCATCTGCACATAATGAACACGTATAATTAAAACTGAAAAGAATATACTGAGTTAAAAAGGAACTGTCTGAAGAGGATGCTAGAGATTGGATTATACTTTGTTATTGTCTGGCAAATGAAGAGTAAGTAATAAAAGTAGCCATTTAATTGTTTTAAAAGGTATAAAGAGCAGTGCATTGTGTTTTTAAATGCTACATTTGAACACCACAGTGCTGATTTAAAATGAGAACACTTCTGTTCCAGGAAGTGAAAAGCATCTTTTGGAAGTCAAAGATGCTGTTTGTAGCTCTTTAAAAGCTTGTTACAAACTGAGTCATCTCTGAACCGGCTGTCAAGAACAACAGTAATGATCCATGTGCCTCAAAGATGTACAGTAAGCGGTTTCAGGTGCTGGGCTTTGCTGTCGAGAGATTTTTCCATCTTATTTGAGTCAGCATTACTTCCTTGTGGTCCACTGAACTGGTGGCCCCTATGTATTACATCTGCCACTATATTGTGAACCATACAGGTCCAGTCTACACTGCTATGTGATTTTTACTGTTCTGTAGATTACATTTCAGTCTTGTATATTGACATTTTCATTATTTATTAAAAAAAAAAAAAAAAAACCCCAACTTTTTTAGAGTTTCATGTTCAGTTCAACAAGCATACAGGAAGGTACAAGAAATAGTCTATGTTGCAGGTAAATCACATGTTACATAAATTCAGCCTATAAAATAATAACAATAACATAGGGCTGCCGGACTTTGTGAACTGATCTGCTTCAGTACGTAGAATACTTGTAAGGTATACCAAACCAGCTCGAATATAACTTAACAGAAGGGCCCTTCTCTGGTCCCCTGTAATAATATAATATTTTCCAGCAGCTAAAGTAAGAATATTATATCATAACATTTTGCAAGCTACAGTAGTTATGTTGCCAGTTGGAAGTCCCAAAATCAAAGACATAGAATTCATTTCTAAATCTTGGTCATATAGCCCTTCCATTTTGCATTGTATTCCATACCAATACTTCTGTAGATAGGCCATGTGTTTAGGTACCAATTTCAGCTTTACATTTTACACAGAGGCAAAAGCGAGGGGTTAAAAGAGCCTGCATTTAGAGGATATATGTATTCTATGTACAAAGTGATTACGTTTAGTTTAAATAGATAATTTGTTGGTGTAACTAATCCTATCAAAATAAATGTTGGCCGATATGTTATATAAACCTAATTTCTGAGCAAATTAAGGCCCAGTATTTCTACCATGTTTGCACTGTGTGTCATAGTTTAGAGGACATATTATTGTCCCTGCACACTGAGACAAATTCTTGTGTAATTGTTTTACCTGACACTGATTGTGATTCTGATTGCAGTGTTGTAGCTGAAAGATAGTGGAGGAAAATGGGCTTTTATGATGCTGAGCTTTCAATAAATCCCTGTTGATTAATGGTCTAATTATTGCATTACAAGAAAATGATGAAAAATGCCCTACTCTCTCTATACAAATAAAACACAAAGCTTATTCTTTCCTCATTTTATGTAGTCATATTTTAATGGAGAACAGACAGTGAATTCTTTTGTCCTTTTGTTTTCATGGATCATTAACATGAGTGAGTGCTCCTTCTCCAGTGTTTACACAACAAACATTATTACTAATAATGTTAGTTCAGAGCTCTAAAATTGCTTTTTTGACATGTTGTTTTGCTGCAGGTGGGCTACGAGAACGCTGGTACTGTGGAGTTCCTGGTGGACAAACACGGCAAACACTACTTCATTGAAGTCAACTCTCGACTCCAGGTTGAGCACACGGTCACCGAAGAAATAACTGAGTAAGTAGCGTAGCATGTGTTTGTTTGGTATCCTCTGTCCGCAGACAGGTGTGCATCTTCAAGGTTAGATGGTTACCACTCTGAAAAGTTGCTGAAGTAGAGAGTGAAGGTTTGAGCTATGGAGGGAGGTGCAGCCAGAGTCAAAAAGAGCGCGGGTGGTTTTTAAAGTGTGTGAGAGAGCGGCAAGAGAAGAGAGCCCGAACAGGTGGAATCAGTGAAGAGAAAAGCCGAAAGATGAGGTCAGAGTGAGAGAGGGCGAGAGACAATGGGAATGAAGGAGAGTGGCGAGAAAGAGAGAGAGGATAATGAAAGATATAAATAGCATTCCGCTCCACTGATGACCTGTGAGATTTGCTCGGCTGAAACAACACAGATGGGTCTCAAATAATACACACACCAGACAAACACAGAAGAACCACATGGGTGTGGGTGTATAGGTCCTTCAGTCACACCCAGACCTGTAAATCTTTGTTCAGCTCTGACGCGTAGACAACACAGAAAACTACAATTATACTAATTTATATTGGATTTCCAGCATAATAAACCCAATTAATGAATTAAGCTGACAGACTAACAAATCAGTGCAGCTAATACACAAAGTGGTGTGCAGGGGGGACTGTTGCAAGGAAGCAAAATGATTTCACCTGTTCCTATAGCAACCAAACATGACTGACAACTTTGTTAGCTGTATTCTTTCGCTGCTTTGATCATTTGGCTTCTTTCATCTTTTCTGTCTTTAAGTCTTTGTTTTTCTTTAGTTTTTTTTCTTGTACACAAAGGGGCTCTTTGTTCAACTTGCTTAATTTGCATTATACCACAGTGAGCTAAATCGGCTCTGGGTAAGTGGAAAAAAACATCAGTAAACACTGAAGTCCCAGCGATCATCAAGTGTCAACAAAAAGTGGATTTTGTTTTCCCAAACCATTAATGTGTGTTATTTTGAGAAAAACTGTCTGCTTATAAAAAATATATCCTGTCAGTTAAGGTCTTAAATAATTATGCTTGTCCTAGAAATGTTGCTAATCTGATTTATTATAATAATGATTATTTATAAATTTTGATTTAATTCTTTCTTTGTAGTTGTAGTCTGTAGTTTTTCCATGTCTTCTGATTTAAATGACGACGTACACCTGCCATTCATTTTTCACCTGAGTTGTGCTTTCACCCACTTGCTGAATGCTTGGTCTGGGCTCAGAGGTGGCAGTGGTAGCTCAGTGTGCTCTGGGTTGAACTCAATTAAGGAAACATGTTATTAACTAAATTGTTTATGGATTAAAGCCCCTTGCCACTCTCAGTGCACCCACACAGGTCACTTACTTTGGCTGATTAGACAAATTTCAAGGATTGTGTGAGCATGTATAAACCTTCTGACTCTCATGATAGCTTTGTTTTTTTTTGTTTTTTCTGTTATGGCAGGACATATTTCACCTTTATGATTCCACAATGAGTCCATGAAGGACCTTAGCCATTTCCCAACATAGCTCCACCCAAGTTTTAAGCAGCCTCAATAACTGTGAACATATGTGTTGGTGTGCAGGTGCAGTGAGGAGTGTACAAACAAAGGTATACACGCCTCTCATAAAAACACAGCGTATCATTGGGGCCTTCTGAAATGCATTTAATCAATTTTCTACCTCAAATCATTTGCAAAGTCAATTCTTTTATTCTTATTTTTTATATTATATTTTGAGCTTTACACAGCTAGTCATCTTCTTGTCTGTCTTTGCTTGCAGCTGTAGATAAGTGGAATAGTGTGTTGAATTTTCTCTATAAATGCCTGTTTCTTTACATTTATCTTACTCTATGAAAAATTAAAATACCGTGGTTGCTTTTAGGAAGCAATGATGTAGGAAGAAGATGGGATATTTAACTATCATAAATCATGTATTTCAAGTGTACGGAGCAGATATATCTACAATGTAAACCTTCTAGAATTGCCCTCCTTTTCTATTACTGCTGTTGAATGTGATGTCATATCTAATATATTTAAAAATGAAAAAGTGTTAAAATGGGAGATAAGGGACACTAAAGGACTCAGGTAATATCATACCAATATTTTCACCCTGTTGCAACTCTCCAGGGATGTCGTGCTGCATTATTTGTGAGAACAAAATGAGATGGGGAAGATCTTGACTGCACGCTGCGCATCAATAGATGTTTCTTTATATTCTGCCTTTGTGCCACCACAACCTTTGCCTACCATCCTTTTGTTCTTTTATATCTCTCCTCCTTCTCTTTTATGCACCTTTCTTTTCATAGTGAGACAGTTTTTTACCTGCATTGACACACACACTCAAGCGCACACTTACCCTGCAGTGCCAATAAGTTGATAGAAAGTCATTCTCATGTATTACAGAACCACTCCACTCCAGTCCTGCACCAGTTTGTCATATCCTCTTTGTCCTGCAGAGAAAAACTCATATCACCGAGGAGATTTGATGTTTTGGGAAATTGGGGTCATTTGAATTGGCAGGAGAGCAGTAATTACTTGAATCTGGGCAGCGTCCTGCATGAAACGGCACATGCTGAAAGTTTCAGCTGTCATGAGCAACACTTTTCATTTGCACAGCTTTCATTATAGGTTGAGGTTCAGTTCCAAGCAACCACAGCTGAAGAGTTTCACGCCTGGAAAAAGAACAAGTCTTTCCAACAGAGACTCCATGTGCATCCATCTAAATTGTAGGGGAAATGTACTCTTTACAAGTATTACATTTGAGTGTGAGTGACAAAAGTGGGAACCGTATTAGGGTTTTACTGTATTTGAACATTATGTCCATTAGTCTTTCAGCTTTTCCGTTTCATTCGGCTGCACTCCCAATCTCTAAGGTTTGTGAGCACATTCATCCTTGTTTTTGTGTGTTTGAAATCGACTGTTTTACTAATAGACTTGTCAGCGAGGTATTCTTCATACCAAGTTGTGAAACTCCCCTTTTAAACTTGCCGTTCATTCCCCAGCTCTCCGCCTTACCACACCATTTTTCAGCAGTTTCATCTCTCTTGCCTAATTCCTTTTTCATCAATCACTCCCCTCATTCCCCATTTGATTTGTTAACTTTCTCTGTTTCCAACCTGGCTGCAGTTGAGCCTTGGCTTCTTTATCTTTTATCTTCATTCTCTCTTCGTATTTCTAATTTATTTTCTTTCCTGTGCTGCACATGCAGCCAAATTCAAACATTTAAGTCAGTGTATGTCTGAGTAACTGGATTTGAAATTAGCCATTCAGGCTCTCCAGCACTCCCTTAACTTGTCGTTCATTCTTCACCCATTCTCTGTCAGTTTCTCCCTCTGTGTGTCTGCCGTTCACTCTGTCACTCCCATCACTCCTTCTCTCCCCCTCTCCTGCCCTCCATCTTCTCCAGTCTCATTCCTCTCTCCTCTTCCTTCTTCACCCATTCTCTGTTTCATTCTCTTAGCCCTTTATTTTGGTATTTGTATTAGACTCTCCCTCTGACCCCTTGCTGTGAATGCATAGGTAGTGTATTGCATTTTCTTAGCCTTGTTCTTCTTACTCCTTCTTTCTCACCGTTTTAAATCAAATAACATGAAGTGGTTGCCATGGATCCCGTATAATGAATCTTAATGACTTTGGTGATCCCCTGGCTTTTCCTCTAGTGTCACCAGTTAATGCACTTCACTCTGGTAAAATGTTTTAACATGCCATTAAATTAAGTGCAGATATTCATGTTCTCCACAGGCTGACATGTCATCATTCATTTGACATTGTCCAATACTTCTGACCAATCTACAAAACCTAATGACATTCCCATCAGCTCTAGAAGTACTCTGTGTTCGCTGCTGATTTGCATGCAATCAAATGTTTACATACAAACACGATAAAGTAAGAGGTTGAACATTGTAAACGTTACACCTGCTAAACATCAGCCGTTTTAACTTTCTCACTGTGAGCATATTAGCATGACAAACACACCCATAGCATTCATTTTCATTTTTTATATTTACTTCACCTTGACTGCTAAAGATCAGAAACTGCATTGTATCATTGTAAAGATTGTAAAGTTTGGCCACCTTAATATTTGGTTTTCTTACAATGAGCATAACAGCTTCACAGAGCTGCTAGCGTGGCTCCAGGCTCTTCTACCTCATTTATACCTGTTATAACCATGCAGTCTGTATTTTGGATGTCTTGTCCCCCTAGCTTATTCCTGTCCCTGTCAAATCCAGCTCTGATATATATAAGGTTTAGGAAGTAGCTGATTGCATTGTAATCCATTTGGGAGAGTGTTTCATCACTAACATTAACTCTTGTGTCTTTATTTGTCCTTCAAGGGCCAAAGAGGGGTCCTGTTGCTTTAATAGGCAGTGTAAATGGTTTATGATATGGCCCCCATTCTCACAGAGCATTGCGAGTTCTCTGATAGTCCTTTGATGATAGGTGTCCATAGATCTCATTGAAATCTTTGAATTGTTTTTGTCACTTTAAACTTTTTAATTTCATTATAATTTTGCCTTAATTATATTAAGTAATTAATATTTAATTTTGTAAATTTACTGTATATATTATATATTTTTTTTTCTTGACCTGGGACTTGTTGGTCTTTACTCGGGACTGTACTCTGTAAGAGCTGACCACAGTGCAGGCAGAATTGAGATAACCAAAATGCTTAATACCAGGTGTGAATGCAAAGTGCTGTGATCAGATACCCAGATACAGATTGCATGTTAGTCCCACCTGCAAATGGGCTCTTAGCCTTGTTTTCCCCTCAATTAGATGCTCTCAGGAACAGATTCCCTCACTTTGATTTTGTGTGTGTGTCTGTGTGTCTGTGTGTGTCACTGCTTGCTATGCGGTTTGATCTAACTGTTACTAATAGGATGCTGCCTGTAGTGAGGGTCAATGTAACGCACACTCTCACACCTTCAGGTATCAAAGTCCCCTCTCTCTTCTCTCTCCTTAATCCATCCTCTCTTTCTACACATCCATCCATCTCATCCTTCATTCCTCCCTCAGGCTCTCCCCTTCATCTGTCTGTCCTCAGCTG